GGGGCCCCCCGGGCGTCCCCGCCTCTGTGCCTGGCGCTCGGGGCGGTCTTCCTGTCGGTGCCGGGGCTGGCCGTCTCGTTGGCTACCCTTTGTTTGTTTTTTATGATGCCTTCTCTGTTAAAATGGATTTTGACATAAGCAGGAACTATGAAGCTGAAATTACTGGTTCTAAATGCAGGCACGCACACACACGTGTGAAAATTGTCTCGAGGAAACGCTTCCCAGAGTGCGCTGGCCTTTATTAGCGTATGAAAATTCACTGATGGAGTTGATGCTTTTCGTTACTGTCAATGAACTTCTGGGCCTTGAGTGAGCATCTGTGGAAGAATTGGCCTCCTGCTCCTAAGCCACACAGTTCCCCTTGTGCAGTCTTGGGAGGGCCGGCGGGGTTAGGAACTTGGTGTAGCGAATCTGAAGGGAGACGAAGCAGTAAGAATGCATGAGTTCTGTGTCTGATGAGGAAATGGCTATAGTGTTTAGCATTGCCTTAAGAGGTAGAGATCACCTGTGCAGCATAAGGATGCAGGTGTTCAGATGGAAGCGTAGTAGTGTTCTGTGGTTGTGTAGATGGATAACTATTTCCCATTTCAGTACGGTTTATAGGGATGGGTAATCAGTTACAAGAGCAGCCAGCTAAGATTTCAGGCATTTACATCCTTCTTCAGCAGTGAGTTTGATGCTCGTGTCCAGGTAGCCCTCAAATTTAAACTTAAGTTACAGTTTTCATGGGTGCTGTGATTTATCATTGCTTGTGTATGTATCCTGCTTGGTGTCTTAAATACTGTATCATCTCAAGCTGAGATGTGAAGCAGATCTGAGGGATTAAGTTTATTCTCTTGGGGTCTCTTGTGAGTCAGCAAGCCATTAAGGTACAAGTGAAGAATTAGGATGATCCTTGTGAAAACAAATGTAAAACTTTACACAAGTGAAATGAGGCCGTGTCTGCCCAGTCCTTTGGAGGTCTCCGATACTGACATTGTCGCATAGTGATAATTATTAAGTGAAGGCCAGGGCTTTCCTTCTCACCATGAATCCTTGACAATTAACATGGTGCTGTTCTTTAGGTGAAAGGTAAAAGCGAGGGCTTGATGCTCTTTGAAGATGCTGCGTCAGTTTCTGTAAGGCTTCTTGTACACTAGGGAATGTGTCTCTTGCTCTCATGCTTCCCTAAAGCAGTCCCACAGAAGCAGCTGTTTCAAAATAGGTTGGCACTATAGGATAGATCTGGGTTAAGAAGATCTAAAGATTTTGGATCACTGGATCTAAAGATTTTACTTTAGAAATAATTCAAAATTGCTCAAGAATCCTTTCTGCTTTTCTAAAAGATACAGTTAAGTAAGATTCAACATCAGATTTAAAAAAAAATAAATCTATGTGAGGTGGTCAATATTGGATAAGCGACACTCCTAGTTTTAGGATGTGTTTGCTGGATGCTTTTCACTGGATACAGCACATTGCCCACTTTAAGCTGTGGCAGGTAATGTGTGTTCTCTCTCCTTGATGTAACTGCTGCTTGCAGGGATTTCTTCTGTCTTGCTCCTGTTACGTGGAATTGTTAAGTTTGCAAGTATTAGTGATCGTATTAGCGAGAGGGCTTTCCCAAATCTTCAAAATGTTGAAAAGAGTGCATGTGTGGAGGGAGTTTCTGGCTTGTACAAACTCTGTTGATTTTTCTTGTCACTACATCTAGTGACGGTTAGTTTGTTGAAGCCTAAAACAGAAAATTGGGCTGAAGAATAACAGTGCTAATCAATGATGAATCTGGTAATAAGAAATTTAATTTCAATGTATTGGACATTGCCCTCTGGTATAAGGTAGTAATTCATCTTTTTATTGGGGGGGGGGGAGAATATTTTATACAAAAATTACTTGTGATTAGGCATGGGATACTGTTGACTGAATGATGTATTTACAAGTGCCTGTCAGGTACTTGGGGGTCATTAGTAACTTATTGTAAACTCTGCTGGTTTTACGTGTTGACAGAAGAAATGGTGAATTCAGATTATCTCCTTGTCTCAACGTTGTCGTATTAAAAAAAGGTTATTGTGCTCCTATAACGGTAGGAGACCATACCCACCAGAGCTTATAACGTTCTGGTGTAGTGCTGTTCTGTATTGTTGATGGCCTAGATAAAAGCAAGAGGCACCTTTTAAAAACAAAACCAAAAAAAACAAACAAAAAACCTTACCAAAAAACAGGTGATGATGGAGTGACAGGAAAAATCTGTGTTTGAACTCTTAAGTTCTGAAGTAAGTGAATGGCTGGTGCTGAGGTTTCTCTTGTGTTTTCATTAATGGAATGCTTTGAAGCACCACTTTTTTTTTTTCTCAGTTTTGGTCGTTGTGGTAAGAGACAAGGAAGTATTTCTCACCACAGTGAGAGAAACCACAAAAGATTTCAGTTTCCAGTTTTTCCCCCCATTTATGGTGCAGCTTTCTGTTTGAGAAGGAGATAGTTTGCTGCATATTAATGGTGTTTATCATGTTAATTTCTAACTATGCCGACATAATTTCTGTCAGTTCTTGGATATGGGGAGAGTTTGTTTATTTTAAACATGCTGCTTCTAGTTATGTGCTTGCTGCTTTTTTTTTGTTTGCCTCTTAGCCTGGCACTATAAACATGAGTAATTGAGAATCTACATGTGAGTAGTAATTGTGTATTGTGATGAATGAGATCCTGTCTTAATATATCTATCCCCTAGTGTGAGGTGAGTACCTGGTGGTTCCTGTGGTGAAAGCCAGGGCTCTGCCAGCATGCTTGTTTGTAACTGGAGATCAAAAGGATTTGCCACTTACGTGACACATTTTAGTTTTTGCTCCCAATAGTGAAGTGAGCTGGGCCACTGTACTAAAAAGAGCTGTCTTTTTTTTTTATATATATATTCTGCATATCAGTAGCAAATTTTAGAAGACTGAACAAAAGTACTCAGCAGAAGCATCAATGGTATACGCTTAGGCTGTTGCTTGTGGGATGAAGTGTGGAGATATGCTAATCACATGCAAGACTTGACCCATATGTCCCCTCCACAAAAGGTACTGTGTATGTATAGAACGGAAGTTGCTGGGTACTTTCCATAATAGCAGTTGAATCGTGAATTCAACAAGGCTGTGTAACGGCATGGGTATTTTATCTGATGATGTTTTTCCCTCATACTTACCGTGTTAGAAAGTTCCCACCGTCCTTTTATATCATCTGTTGGCCTTCACATGTTAAATGACACTTTTCTGGGGCCATAAATGTAGGAGTGGGAGGACCTGCCCAACTGACTGTGCAGGAAGCAGGCGTTGAAAGGACTGGACTGTTTAATGCGCTGGCATTGCTGCGAGCGTGGCTTGCCCTCGCATCTACTCTAAGACCCAGCTTCTCTGGGGCAGTAAACCTGTGTGATAAGGAACCTGTAGCCTTGCTGAGCAGCCTGCTGTCTGTTGGGGATCAAGGCAGGGTGCAGACAGCTGTGAGCAACATCCTACTCTGTTTTCCCTGCCAGTTGCTATTTTTAACTCCATAATATCCAAAGGCTGCAAGCAGTATGAGAGGTATCTTGCCCCAATGATGATTATCATTTCAGTCCTTAAGAGCAAACATTGTGTTTGCACAGTAGTTTAGGATACTAGGCAGATGTGCTGACTGTATTGTTCATGTCAGATGGATAAGCAAGCAGTTTCTTGAGCTCCATTCTCCTTTAGGGTTGATTTTTCTGTTGTGTTCAGTTCTTTGCTATGAAAAGACACATAGTCTATAAGGTAAAAAGCATTCTGTGCCAAATCACAGCGAAAGAAAATTCGCTCTTTACTGTGCAAATAGGCTTCTCCTGGCCCACTCACTGTCATCTCAGTTTGCAGTACTTACCAACTTGAGAGTGCATCTGGACCCTCTCTGGCTGGTGCTGTGATTGTAGCATCTTGCTGGAGTATCTGGGAATAGGTCAGGTGTGACGGACAAGGGCCTTTTGACGCAGAACGTGTGGGAGTGGCTGTAATGTGAGATTTGGAATAAGTACCAGAGCTGCTTTTGAAGGCTGCTGTAAAGGACAAGATGTCTTCTATGCTGTTAGGTTCATAGTGGGGATGAGCAGGACCATCCAGACTGTCTTTTAATATTCTGGAAAGTGGCTAAAAAAGTGGCTGGAAGTAGTGTATACTTGGGTATAGTAATAGGAACTTTGGGGTATGATGTGATTGATGTTACCTCACTTTGTTCTGTAGCAAGCCTTGCTTGTGATGGCTCCTAACTCTCTCTCTCTCTCTGTGTCTCTGTCTCTCTCATTCTGTAGGCACTGGGGAGAGTGGAAAAAGCACATTCATTAAGCAAATGCGTATAATTCATGGCTCAGGCTACTCTGAAGAGGACAAAAAAGGCTTCACCAAGCTGGTGTACCAAAACATCTTCACTGCCATGCAGTCTATGATCAGGGCCATGGAAACCCTGAAGATTCTGTACAAATACGAACAGAACAAGGTAGGTTTCTCGCAATTTTTGCGTATGTTTTTAGGCAATGGGGATTCTAGGGTTTGACTCCTAAGTTCCTGTTTGTTTGTGTCCTTCTGCATTGCAATCTCAGCCTCCCTGCAAAAAAACTCTTTCCCATAAATGTTTTGTGCTTAAGGTCTGCTTTTTATGACATTTTGCTCATATCTGACTCCGTTTACATGGTTGTGTTAAGGGACAGAGCAACTTTCTCAGGATGGTTTGTGCACTGGTCTGCATAGTGAGTGGTGGGAGCAAGGGATTGGGATACAATATAGGGTGTAGGAGAGGTGTTCTTTTTACTCGTTTCAAGGATTCAGTATTGTTAAATGTGTTGGGCTTTTCTTTGCATGAGTTACTATTCACATTGGAACTTGAAGCTGACAAAATACATGCTGGACCCAAAAGACACCTCTACTGGTAGTTATCACTATTACTGCAATCTGTCAGTTTTTCTGATAGGTACTGACCAAAGGTACAAACCTTTCTTGAAGGGGTTTGGTCTCAACCGCAGAAACGTGATTTGAGCTGAAGCCTGGCTTACTGGTTTTGGGTCCAGGAATACATTTTTCAGCCAGATCTGGTCTAAATTATTTTAGCTTTTTGGGGGAGGATGGGGAGGGTGAGGGTGTGCCAGGAAATTAGATTTTTTTTTTTTTTTAGTGTGTTTTGCTTCTTTAATGCTTAGTACCTTAATATTTTTAAGTGAAATTGTATTTTATCTGTTCTGTCACACAGAAACTTGAAGATGATTTTAATTAACTGTTTATAGGGACTGAAGGGTGCACCAGGAGTTCTTGAGTCTGAATATCTTTACTTGGCTTTTTTTTTTTTTTTTTTTTCCTGGCATAGGTGGTACAGGCAAAAGCCCCTTCCTGTGGCAAGTGTACCAAAGATTTCAGAAAGCAGCTTGGTGTGGATAATAACCTCACAGATGCCACAGGCTGTTGTAATGACTGTAGTCCTTCCTTTGCTTATAGATTGTATGGTGGGCATTTTCTTCTCTCTCAAAAGGGGTCATGATTGAAGTAAGCTGAAACAATGTCTCTATTGCTATTCAAAATGTAGTTTAAATTTTTTTTTGTAAGAAACCTGGGATAGCAACTTGTTATCCAGCTGCAGTTTAGCCTCCTCAGAAGTTGGGCAGTCTGTGGTTCTTCACAGTGAATGCTCTGCCTTGAAAACCACTGTGGTTTTTGCCTGCCTGTGACCAGTACCCCCTGCTCCTGACCCTCCCTCTTCCCCCCCTACCCCATTTTGCTTTTCAACCTCCAGGCCAATGCAGTGCTGATCCGGGAAGTGGATGTAGAAAAGGTCATGACATTTGAGCAGCCATATGTAAGTGCAATTAAAACATTGTGGAACGACCCTGGAATACAAGAGTGTTATGACAGGAGAAGAGAATATCAGCTTTCTGACTCAGCTAAATAGTAAGTATATAATGACTGGCATGCACTGGTAGATGGTAGTGATGGTCTAACAAATAATACCTGTCCAACTTTTTAATTGAAGTCTTGAATTTGTTTCAAAGGACAGGAACACTGCTGTAGGTTTCACTACATAGTTTGTTTAAAGTATCTTTTTCATTGAGGTGGCTGAGTCTTGCTGGTGGTTTAGACAAGCTGCACAGTCTCTGCTGGCCACGTGTATTGGGATAAAAATCATAGGTATATGAGAGAGGTGCTCTGCCTCTATCAACCAGAATATCCTTAGGAAAAGGTAAGATGAAAGAGCAGTGGGAGCAGGTAACTGGTAACTTGTTTGAATCTGGCTCCAGAAAGGCAAAGAGCTTTGCTGGAGATGGGGGAAGCTATGTTTATTTGGGGATGGATTTAGATCTGGAAATTCCTTACCATTTGCTACTTTTCATGAGGGTATGAGGTGTTCTGGTGGATGATAGACAGTTGTTCACACATCTGCTTCTGGATATACCTGAGGCTAGAATCTCTACCTTATGCCATCTGTGTTGGTCCTGGCTCTTAGCCAGCAGAAGTGTTGCTCTTTCTCTTCAGGTTTGTCCTTTGGCCTACAGGTGTACATGGATGTGTAACTTAATAGATTTATTATTAACAAAATCTAAGTCTGGTGACATAGGTTTGTTTATAAATAGAAAACCTCAGATGAGACTTGATTCTGAAACATAAGCATCCACTGTACTTAAACTTTCTCCGTAGTAAAGATTGTCTTCCACACTCCAATACAGAATTGATAAAGTTGTTCTTAATGTATCTGTTTATCTTCCAAAGGGGATGGCTGGTGAATTACTGTTCCCCAAATATGTATTCTGTTATTTTTCCACATCACATTTTAAATGGTTCAGGTGACTTCTGACTTTCTTGTTATGCTAGGGAAAGAATGTTTAAATCTGTATATTTATGTGCTGCAACTTAAAGTAGTTTGTTTTTTTTTTTTTTTTTTCCATTGTGCTTCTTGTAGCTATCTTAGCGATGTGGATCGTATTGCTACCCCAGGATATCTACCAACTCAGCAAGATGTGCTACGGGTTAGAGTTCCTACAACCGGTATCATAGAGTACCCCTTTGACCTAGAGAATATTATCTTCAGGTACTGAAGGTGTATTCATGTTACAGCTGAACTGAGAGAGGAGTGATATGGTTTCAGGAAGGATGAGTTCTGGATTGCTTTAGTGTCCAGGTGCTTAGTTGAGAGGCTTGAGTGGATGTATGTGCTGTGATGTTATGAAGTATATGCTGACAGGTGCTCCAGTAATGGGGATGGTGTAACATTTTATTCTGACTCAAGCTGAAGGATTGACTGTCACAAAACAGAACACGCTTTTGAATCAGTGACACTTAAAGCCCAGCTAACCATCTCACAGGAATTGGTGTTCTTCCTGGGAAGGACTGCATTGCTGGCATCTGAGGCTGAAGTGGGGCTTGTGAGGCAGCCGAGTGAACCTGTGGGTAGTTTAAGCCACCAAGGGGAGGAAGGGAAAGCTTGTTCTGGGCAGTGCTTGACTTGAAATGTATTTCCCTTTAAGAATGCTTAGCTCAAGCAACTTTGACGATTTATTTCTCCTTCAAAAAGAGACCACCTTTGTGCAGAAATATTTCCTTGTATGTGATACCTAATATCTGTCTTCAGATATGGTTTTCTGTGCCTGCCTTGTGCTCTCAGGATGACACCAAGACTTGCTGCCTGTGCTGCTGCAGCAACAGATGGTATTTGGAGGCTTAGGCCAGCAATCGAGCATGGCATAAAGGGCACAATGACATGCCTGTCTATTGCAAAGCAATTTTCTCACTAGCTCTCTGGTACTTACATGCTCCCTGCCCTTCTCTACCACAGTGTTGATGTTACAAGAGAGAAATGAAGAAGCCTACATCCTCTCTCTTAAACCATTCAGTTACAGTTATACAGAAAGTTACTCTCCCTGTTCAGGTTTGCTGACCTATGAAATAGGTATAGGGTTTTAGCAAAGGTGGACCATGTGTGTTGCTCTTTAGGTGAGTGACAAAATAATTTTAGCGTACTATACAGGTGGGACTTAAAACTGAGGAGCTCAAGTGTGTAACTGTTAAACAGCACATTCTAAGAAAAGTTTAATAACTAAAGAAAGCTCTCTGTGAGAGAAGTTTTGAGGCAAGCAGATGCTCTAATTAAATAGTTTGCTCATTTGACAGAGCAGAGTGTTGAAGGACTTGTCTTTTCAGACTTAGGACTGCTACCTGGCAAACCAGATCAGAATGCAACTAAAAATGGTAATGCTGATAATTTGGGATTTGAATTTGATACCACTCGCCTAAGGCCATCTCTTCAGTTTGATATATGTCTGGAACAGGATATTTTGTAAACTTGATGGTTTTGTTAGCAAGCACATATTATTACATTCCCATGCCAGGTTAACTCGAATGGTAAAGAGCCGCATTCTTTCTCATCATATGCTGGTCCTTTGCATTCGGATAGAGAACTGCAGCTACTTCTGTGATACTGTATGTATTTCTCTTTCTTAGAATGGTGGATGTTGGTGGTCAAAGATCAGAACGAAGGAAGTGGATCCATTGCTTTGAAAATGTGACTTCCATCATGTTTTTAGTAGCACTTAGTGAATATGACCAAGTTCTGGTGGAATCTGATAACGAGGTAAGCCAAAGAATGGGAATGCTGCAGGAGGGTGGAAGGAAAGGAGGAATGTCTTTCTGGTTTCTTGAGGTTGGTACCAATGTGTTTGGTGCCAAGTTGGATTGCAAGTATTGTTGGTTTTGGCCTTCAGTTCTTCCTGTTCCAAAGGGAACATGAGCCTCAATGGGTCATGATGTCCCTGAGAATGGAAAATGCACAGTGCATTCAGATCATCTGCACTTCTCAAGTAATACTGAAGTACTCTGAAATTGCCGAGATCTGTGTGCCTTGGAAGGTACCGTGCAATGTGACGGCATGCTCTTAAAAATCACCCATTCCTCTTTTTCGCACTGAATTACTTTGTGCTGTGACTGCTGTCTTGTTAGATGGTGACTGGTCTCTTTGAAGGTGCAATACCAAATTTTTGCACTTGCTAACAGATTAAAAAAATGCCATTAGGTAACAGCAGTTATTCCTTTTCTATTAGACAAAACATGTTCACAGAGTATCGTGGCCAGTCCTCTCACGTGTCTGTCAAAGCATAAAATTACTTTTAAGCCTTTTGATATGAATGGCTTGCCGATTTAATGAAGCTTGAGTCGATCAGATTTTGCATTTCCTTTCCTTTTACTGGCGCAACTTGAGCCAGAACCTACTTGGGGCCAAAGTATTCTGTGTTCAGTATCTGAGATGCTGGATCGATACAGATATGAGTACGTGTGGAGGTAGCAGAAAGGCATCTTAGTGCTCATTTGTGAAAACAAGGCTTTCTTTTTCTTATTTCAGAACCGAATGGAAGAGAGTAAGGCTCTCTTTCGAACCATTATCACTTATCCATGGTTCCAAAACTCTTCTGTTATCCTCTTTCTCAACAAGAAAGATCTGTTGGAAGACAAGATCCTATATTCTCACCTTGTTGACTATTTCCCAGAGTTTGATGGTGAGTGGTTTTTAAGGAGGAACACCCTATATCTAGAAGAAAGGGTAGAGGTGGTTTGGTTAGAATTTTTTTTTGTTTTTTAAAGACAACTCAGATCTAGAGATGGGGAAAACTTATTAATTTGAGAAGGAATACCTACAACAATGAGAAAATGTCACAAAAATGTCTTAATCATATGTAGATAACTGGAATCTGATCGAATGAGCAAATAATGAACCTCTCCTAGATGAAGAATTACCTGCCCCCCCCCCCCCCCCCCCTTCCACTTCAGAGTATTAAATAATAGAAGTCTATCTTTCCTACCTGTATGCTTGTGCATATAACCTGTTTCATAAACATGTGGCAATTCGCTGGTATATTTCTAGTCAAGAGGTGACTTGAGTCCTTGTTTTGAGAAACTGACTGGTCAAATGCCCAAGTCATTCAAATAATGGTGCTGAAAAATCTCAGGTAGCATGAAATTCTTATTAGTGTGCCATCTGCAGTTGTGGAAAAATAATATCTATGTGAAACAGAAATTCCCATCTGAAACAAAATTCCTTAGCCAAGATAACATTTCAAGCTCTTCAGTTGGGTGCGTTTAAAGTTGGCTGGTAACACATCTGTACAGGGCTGAAAATAAATAAAAGTAGTGGAGAATGAGTTCAGGCAACACACTTCTTGCCATGCTCTCATGTATTAACTCTGTCATTATGTGCTTTAAAAAAACAAGGTAAAGGAAATATTGCCATTTTGCAAACAGCTTTCTTTTAAACGATTAATGAAATTGCTCCGTATTGTCCTCCCACTTCTGGAGTTTCATGCCCCCTGCTGTCTGAAAGCACAAGCACTCTGAAATTGTCAGTGGTGGAAAACATCACGTTTTTACAGCAATCTGGGAATGGCTGCTGAGCTTATTGGTCAAATAGTGCATACTTCTAATATAACTTAACAGCTGGAGGCAAGATCTCAACATCAGGAAGTGTCATATACTTTCATTTTTTTCATATAAGTACTTACTGTAGCTCCTCCAGGGATGCTGCATGGCTTGTGAGTGGGAGGTAGCCCATCAGACCACCTCTTGAGATGGTCCTTGCCATGGGGAATGTGACAACACCAGTACTGTGAAAGAAATATCAGTAGGTGACTTTTTTCTGAGGAGTTGTCAGCAATATGAAGTAAATACTGGCAAAAATTCCAGTTTTTAGCTCCTGTGAGTTGACCAGCCAGTTAGGACAGACTGCAGTGTTGGCTGAAGATGACCCTTGTTTGCAAAGCATACGCTTGTGTCCTTCAGTGCATAAGATCCATCTATATATTAGAAAGAAATATACATCCCATCTCCAGAGGACAGCGTTGTGTTACGTATATCCAGCATCTGTCACTGTTATCTAGCGAATGCAGCACATACAGGGTTATACCAAATGCTGTATTTCAAAGCACGGTCTGAAATGATGCCTTGGTGTCTGTCAAAACTCTCAGCATTGGAAAAATGCCTTTTGTAGGTTTTGGTTAGATAACTGAAAAGCATAAGACACTTCAGCTCCTGGGACCTTTATGCAATAAAAGATCTTAATTTCTTCTTTATAGCTCTGTAACCCATAAGAAAAAGTGTGCTAGCAATTATTCTGATGGATCAAACCGGGGGATGCACTTAGCATAAATCCATTAACTGGTTTCTTTGTTTGCTGCAGGCCCACAGAGGGATGCACAGGCAGCCCGTGAGTTCATTCTCAAGATGTTTGTGGATTTAAATCCAGACAGCGATAAAATCATCTATTCTCACTTCACATGTGCCACAGACACAGAAAACATCCGTTTCGTCTTTGCAGCTGTCAAGGACACCATCCTACAGCTCAACCTGAAGGAGTACAACCTGGTTTGACCCGCTCTGCTCTTGGCCCCTTGAGAGGCTTCATTGTGAAGAAAAGACAAAAAAAGAAATTTTAAATATGACAGGAAAAAAGTTTTAATTTTTGATGATGTAATGATTGCAAATTGTCTGATCTGTGGAGTGGCAAGTGCTCAGTGTTATCCTGGAGTCTCATGTCTCTGTCCACAGAGTAGCTGATTTCATATTTTTAACAAATTGCTTTTATTTCACAGTTAACGGGGATATGCCTCATTTCTTCAGCACCTTGCTTACTTCTTAATTTTTTGCCAAACAGCTAAGGCAGTCTCATCTTGAGCTTTCCTTTGTTGCTTAGCTATTTTTTTCCCCTTTTCATTCCCATGGTATATATATAAAAAACTAACTTTCCAGCCGAGATTGTGAATTCACTGGACTGTGGGAGTGCAGAATGCTACTGGTCCCTTTGCCTTGTGCTATAGGGTGCCTCTGGTGTAATTTGCTAATCCTGCTTGCTTCCCCGTGCCCCCCACCCCTCCCTTCTTTCCCTTCCCTTCCCCAGGACACGCTCCATGGTTCACTGTGATGAAATGTTGGGGAGGAGCGATTGCTCTCCAACTATTGTGCAAAAAAAGAAAAAGGCAAAACAAAAAAAAAAGCCATCACTTTTCCATTCTTTATACGTTCTAGTTCTGAGTTATTTTTTCTTATCAATTATAAAAAGTATGGAGACTGTGATTTTTTTTTTTTTTAAATTATTGATGTTCTATACATAGTTTGCTACGTGTTGCTGTATTTTGTTCATGGACTACAAATGATGGAAGCTCTTGGAGCAATAGCTGCTGAGCCTGGGGAAGTGCCTGACTGTAATTGTTCTTTTTTATTTTATTTTGTTTCTATTTTTTTCCACACACACATATACACACATCCCCCCACACACCACAAGCGCATGTGCGTGCACAAGGCTCAATTTGCAGAGAGAAACTACGTTTTGTTGAGTAGAGTATATGACATCAAATGAGCAACTTCTCTATGCAGCAAATATCAAAAGCACACTGAGTAATTGTGGCATTTAAACACCAGACTTTGGCTGGATTGAAAATCTCAGTCTCATGCCACCCTCTAATTCTTTTCTTGCTGCTAGTAGCAAACAAGCCTTGTTTATTGCATTTTGTGCCAGTGTGTTGAATGACTTTGTAAGAATTCCTCGGTCCTGTCCAGCTTGCAGATTTTTAGAAAGGACCAGAGTTGGTGGGTGACAAACTTTGGGACGTAGGTAGGATTCTTACTTGAAAAGATTGAGGATAGCTCTTGGAGGGAGTGGCAATTCTCTCTCTCCCGTTTATGCATTCCCCTGAGGCACATGCTGCTGTGTTCCTGTTTAGAGGAGTATGGATCCTCTTTGGAAGACTTGCACACATACTTGCTCCAGGGTGCATGTGATAATCAACTTACAGTAGTTATGGCTGGAGCACGCAGCTGCTATGGAATCCAGAAAGCCCTGCTGTGGTTGCACTTTTGTTTAGCAGGAGAGTAGAAGCAGAGACAGCAGGGTTTGCTGGTGCAGGTGGAAGGTAGAGTGGAAGTAGTTCTGGATTCTAGATGCCAAATGAAACTCCACTAAGCAGAAGGATGTGAAGCCTTTGCACATTAGAGAGTTTTTTCCAGGATCTGAGGCAAGTGAACAAATGTGCTGAAGACCTGTTGCAGGCCTGGAAGATAACTGCAGTGGCAAGGCAAGGAGTGAGTAGGAAACAGGGAAATCTGACACCCCCCCCCCAGGACGTGTGTCGTTTAGCCATCACTAATGCTTCTGTTTCAATTCCAACAAGTAGCATTGGGTCCAAATCCTCTGGATCAACCAGATTGCCCCCTCGAAGGCTAGCAGGCTGCCAGTGGATAAAGACTAAATGAGCTGCACTGTTGAAGGGGGCTGTTGATATTTTGTCTCTTTTGTAGACAGAGCACTACATCAGTGTTTTGCACAACATGTAAGAGTAAATCTTAACTGTCTGAGATGCTTAAGATGCTTTGATCTAGAACACTAAAATATGGAGGGACATAATTTTGAGTAATTCTGTTTATAGGTCCCTCTCGTTTTGCAGAATAGCTGAGGGAAGCCTCTGTATGTCTCAGAGCACTACAGAAAAAAGCAAGCTCTGCTAAGAGTGATTAGAAAGCTTAAGTTGGAACAGTAGCCATGGGACCAACAGTTGAAGAGCCAGTCTGGCTGAGTGGTGATGCTGAGGGAATCACGGCATCTCTGTAGACTAGCCATGCTCTGGACTGCATTTAACACTTGGGAGGAATGAGAGGGATTCCCATATGTCAGACAGCTTTGCATCAATTTTACTGCTTTTTTTGTCTTTATGCCAAAATGATCCATTTTGTAGAAACTGTCCTATAAAGAGGAATTTATAATCATCTTCATGTATTGTAAGTGCTGTTCATCTGAAGCAGATGGCAGCACCAGCCTCTTCTGCTTCTGTGATCCTCTTGTAAATGGTTCACACTACAACTATTGCCAGCAACGAACCTGGCACTGAGATATACAGGTTCTTGGAAATAACTTCCCGGAAGTTTTCTTTCCAAGGTGAATGATGGTGGTACTTCCACTTGAATCAGAAACTTTTTTTTGTTTTGTATCCTCCCCTTTAAGAGCTGCTGCCCTGGCACAGGAGGAGGGATCTTGGTTTCTGTCTCTTGCAGAGTGAATCTGCATCGTTGTGGGGAATTGTGGGAGGCTATGGGCACAAGGATTTAGGCATGTGCTGTACCTTACTTAGCAACTGCTTGGTGTAACTGTTGGCCTGATAACTGGCTTGGTGTGATGATTATTGCAAAGGGAAGGGGAGAACGTTACGCGATGGCTGTCTCTTGGGTTCCCAAAACCTCATTCTGAATTAGGGGAGGAATGGGTCAGACTTGTACACGTGATCTGGAGTTGTCTGTGGACTATATTATATGTGAGAAGATACCAGTGTTAGCACATGCTTTTCTTAGCAAGCAGTAGTTTGTATGCCTCCAGCTTGGCCAGTGAAGCATTCCTTCAGAACTGGTTCATGTCTCTGTTGGCTGGCCATTTGGCAAACTCCAGCTTGCAGTGAAGCATTCCTTCAGAACTGGTTCATGTCTCTGTTGGCTGGCCATTTGGCAAATGCCTGCCCTAGCAAAAGTGCCAAACCTTAAACCAAATTTGCCTATATCATCTTTTCTGAAAGTGAGGCCAGTCAGAACTTTCTGCAGGTTGAGATAACAGATTGACCGTAAGAAAAGAGGTAGAATTGGGTTCTTGTAGAGAATCTAGAATCTTGAGTCTGAGGAAGTGGTCTCTTGGTTAACCTTTGCTCCTTGTGCACTTTTTATCTTTGTTCTGCTGAAGAAACCAACATACTTTGAACCAGTTTGAAACTTGAAGTCAGTGAGGAGAGGACCATCCCATTTCTTTGCACCATTCTGTGTAGATTGGCTACCTGGTGAGCAACAGCCCCTTACTGCTTCAGCGTGTCAAATAGCTCCTGCCCTTTCTGCCTGTCTCCCCTTCTCCCAGAGTTGGATTCTTTGGTCTCTTGTTGTTGCTTCCTAGCAATGTTGGCCTTGCGTTCAACTATGGTTTTTCTTCATGTGTTTTATTGGTTTAAAAAAAAAAATACTTCCAGAGTGTGCTGACCATTGTATTGTACTGTACAGAGCCCAGGCTGTTAGAGTCCAGCAGAGATAAAGTGTGTTATGCAGCACCCAGTTTTATAAGAGTATGGTTTGTGCCAATGCCCCTTCTTTAGTAGTGCCAGAGACTCTTTACAAGTGCCAATGTGGTGGAAATTATTTGGTTATACTTGTATATTATAGGATCCTGATCTAAGACAATTTAAACATTATCCTATTTAAAAAGATACTATATAAAATGCTGTTTTTAAACCTTGTCATTTGCAATGCATGTATTGTTGTGCGTGTTGGGGTGGGGGGAGGGAAGAGGGTAGGGTAAAGGAGTTTCTGAATAAGATGCCCAGTGTCAGGATCTATTCAGGCTCCAAACTGTCTCATTCCAGTCCAGGAGTGTGATTGTTTCTTGGAATGATCCCACTCTGACTGCTGGGCAACAACCCTTATTACAGAAATATCTGATGGGAATTGATTTTCATATCTTTCTCCTGAAATAAATTCTCTGTTTGAAATTGGAATAAATTTTGTTCCTAAAAGCCGTGGTGGTCATGCATGTGTTTCTTCACTCCTGTCCCTCCTCTCCCCCTCCTTCTGGTTGGCTTAACAACTTGTGTACCCCATGAGACCTGTATCTGATTGAAGCACACTCTCCCCTCCTGCTAGCAATCTTGTCCCTGCTCAGAAAATCAGGACTCTGAGGCATAGAAACAAAGTGTGTTTTGGTAAATATAAGATATAATATGCAATAACTATATATAACATACTGTACTAATAATTCTGAACTGAAGTGTGAACAGTGGCTGACTGGGGTTTTAAGATGTAGGGATGCAATGGTGGCACCTTGACTTAAAATTTTACAGGATTTTGGAGTAGAATTGCGAAGTGAGGTTGTCAGTATTCACTGCTGCCTCTGGCTGCAGTGTCAGCCCATTTCAGGCACATTTTTTGCAGGATTGTCCTGGTTTCGGCTGGGATAGAGTTAATTTTCTTCCTAGTAGCTGGTATAGTGCTGTGTTTTGGACTTAGTATGAGAATAATGTTGATAACAGACTGATGTTTTAGTTGTTGCTAAGCAGTGCTTACACTAGTCAAGGACTTTTCAGCTTCTCATGCCCTGCCAGAAAGAAGCTGGGAGGGGACACAACCAGGGCAGCTGACGCAAACTGGCCAAAGGGATATTCCATACCATATGACATCATGCTCAGTATATAAACTGGGGGGAGTTGGCCGGGGCGCAGCAATCACTGCTGAGGGGAACTTGCTGCATTGGTTGGCGGGTGGTGAGCAATTACATTGTGCATCACTTGCTTTGTATATTCTTTATTATTAGTAGTACTATTATTTTTTTTCCCTTCCTTTTCTGTCCTATTAAACTGCCTTTATCTCAACCAACAAATTTTACTTTTTTTTTTTTTTTCCCCCTCCCTGATTATCTCCCCCATCCCGCTGGGGGGGGTGGAGTGAGCAAAGGGCTGCATGGTGTTAGCTGCCTGCCGGGTTAAACCACAACGTTGCCAATAGCAGAAATGGTGGGACTAGACCTGCTTCCAGTTAGCCACATGGACTGAAATATGAAACACTGCTTAAATTTATCCCTTTAGGAATCCAGGGATGGATGATTGTGAAAGCTTTCACAAAGGGATTTCCTGGGATGGAGTTCCTAGAATTTAATTTTCCTTCCCTAGGATCAGTCCCCAGGAATTTCAGATTAAATCAGCTGGGAGCGGGTAGAGATGTGTAACTTCTGTGTAAGGTTTCCTCTGTTTTCAGGAAGCTGCAACCAAGGCTGTTCTGCTCCGTTCTATGTCATTTCATGCACAGGTGAAGTTGCAGGTACTCAACAGCCTGAGATGCTGTGTTTCATCTTGAACCAGGAAGATCGCTCCAATCTGGTTGGCCATAATACCGGCAGGTATTTGTGTCATTGCTGTTTTCTAATTAAGGGTGAACGTACATTGCTGGAAAGCATGAAATAGTAGCTGAAAGAAGTGTGTTTGGT